CGTGCATGTGTGCATTGCACATACAGCACGCACATGTGTACCCTCACAACAGACACACCTGCACATGTACTCACATATGTGCACACATACACACACCACCCTGGGAGCTGGGAAGGACCTTTATGGAAGTCGGTCGCTGACACAGCTCTTGCACTTAATGCTGCTGATCAGTACTAACAGGGCCTACCCCCTGCTCACCAGGCCCCTGTGTACAGGGAATCATGTGCATGAGACTCCCCATCAGTGTTCCCGTGGCACAGAAAGTACTTGCAGTGTCCCTTGGGATGACTCAGGAGTGGGGTGTCCTGTCTGCCTGTGCCCAGAACCGCTGGTGCACTGTGTGTGCTGGGAGGGGAGGGGTCCCACGGCAGCTCATCCTGTGATGCTAGGGCTCCCACCAGCTAACCACGGCGGTCTTCCAGCCCTCTTGCCCTTTTGCCTAGGTAGGCACAGGTGTGGGTCCATCCTGTCCTCCAGCCTCTGCCCTTCACAGGCTACTGATGTGACATGGCCATGTCCCCAGGGTGCTCACAGCAGGCCCTGCCATGTTGGTCTTTCCACAATCACCATGGGGCGTCATGCTCAGGGCTGCACAGTCACAGCTGTGGCGGGTCTCCTCCTGGAGCTGCTGGAATTGTGCTGTGGCAGTGCAGGACTGTGGGGCATGGAGTTCACAGGCCTGGCTCCCTGCAGGGCTGCGGAAGGTGGGCCTGGCATCCCGGGGCCTCTTGTGTGGGCTTGGTCAGGAGCTGACACAGCCATGTAGATGTCAAACCACAGATGGAAGAAACCCTTTCCTGGAATTATGCAGAGGGTGATGAGTGAGAGATTTCTCAAATACATGTGTGCAAGGGTGTGAAATGCATGCTGATTCATGTGTGAATGTGTACACCTTTTTGAGTGCATGTCCATGTGTATGGCCATGTATTCCTTGTGGACATGTGCATACATTGTTCAGAAAGTGCCAAGTGGCACCCAGCTCCAGCTCCACTTATGGCTCTGGGTGTGGAGCTGCTGCTCCTCCTGGCTTTTTCTTGCTCTGCATGTCAGAAACCAAGACATATGCCCCATGGGCCAGGCCCATGAAGGCTCTGAGCACTACTTACACACCAAGGCTTGCACCACCTTGAGGGAGACTTTAGCATTCGCCAGGCCTTCTCCTGTGCCTAAAGTGGCTGGGCAGGGCAACCAGAGGTCAAGCTGCCCTTCCTTCCAGGCCTGGGCCCGTGTATGTGGGAAGGAGAGCTTACATTGCAATGTGATGCCAGGAATCACACAGGCATCTGCACACGTACATGTGCACCCATGTACACACACACTTGCATACACACATCCACACAGGTATCTGCACATGCATGCCTGTGTACACACACACCTACACACACTTGTGCTGTGCATGCACCCACACACACAGACTTCTGCACATGCATGTACACTCCTGTGCACACACCTGCACGCACACACACTTCTGTGCAGTCACATCCACTAGACTTCTGGACATGCATTTCCTGTGCACACACACACTTCTATGTACAGAGGCATCTGCACATGCATTGCCACGAACACACACACCTGCACACACACTTTTGTGTACACACACACAGGCATCTGCACATGCACATGCACTCCCATGTGCACATATCAGCACATGCACACTTCTGTGCACACACACAGAGGCATCTGCATACACATACGCACTCCTGTGCACACGCACACCTCTGCCTTGGATGCACACAGAAGCATCTGCACACACATGCATACCTGTGTGCACACACCTGCATGTATACATTTCTGCTGTACTACACAGAGGCACCTGCACATATACATGCACACCTGTGCACACACACCTGCACACATACTCTTCTGTGCACACATACAGAGGTATCTGAACATGTAGTCCCACTCACACCTGCACACACATGCATCTGTCATGCATGCATCTATATGGGCTTCTGCATGTGCCCATGTGCTTTCTGTGCATGGCACCACCAAGAACATAGCTGTGCATGGGTACTTGAAGCCCCTCCTGCCCACCATCTTGCGAGGATGGCAGTGCTCTGGGCAGTGCGGCCCCCACTCACCTGGTCAGCAGGTGCCAGTAACAGGCCTGACTGGGGAGGTGGGAGGAGGGACCTGTGAATCCTGCCCCCTCTCGGGCCTCAGGCAGAGGGCTTTCCTTGGACTGCTGACTCCATGCCTGATGTCTCTGGTTTATTTTTTGTTTCTGTTTTTTTTCACCATCTTTGCTAGCATCAAATCCATACTTTCCTGAGCACATTGTGCAATTACTTTACTTTGGTCATCACGTGGCATCAGCCTTGCTTGGTCCAACCAGGTTCCTGTGAGAACCTGGCGCTGCCATGGTCTCTGCTGCCATGTTGTGTGGCTCAGAGCCCCAGACCAAGGAGTGGGGCCACAAGGGGGCTTCTGGTACTTGCTTTTTCATGTGATAGAGACCAGGGTGGACACAGGGTCCTTTCCCTGGGGAAGAGTCCCCTGTCCTGTCCCCTGGGTACCCGTTCTGCCTGCAGGATGCAGAGGGTCAGCCAGGCCAGGCCTTCACTCAGAAGCATTGGCTGCCTTCGGGGGTGAGAAGGATCCAGAGTAAACACAACAGGAGACAACATCAACGCGACACCAAAGGTCTCTTAAGTTAGTCTAGCTGAGGACTCAGGTGAAAATATGACAGAGCCAGCTTGTGAGCCAGACTTGCCCTCCTCACCTCCACCGTGGGGCCTCATGAGAAATGTACCTCTTCTGGGCCTCAAGTGCAGTTTCCCCCTAAGTTGATGACTATGACCATGACCGTGTGGCGGGCATCATACAAGCTCGCCTGTACAAGTGTGTCGACAGCTCAGAATAGCTGGCAGGAAGGTGAGAGGTTTCTGCAGTGGACTCTGCTTACTCAGTGCCTCCCTCTGCCACATGAGCATGTGTGCCTGTGTGCACACATATGTGTGCCTCAGTTGAACTCCAACTCTGAATACGTTTGGCCTCAGCCACTGCGTTCACCTGTCATCCCGCCATGGAAGTGCTGAGGTCAGCACAGGAGCTAAAAACAAACATCTTAATGTGTGGAAAGCTCAGCAACTCTGACACGTGAGAATGGGGTAACGTGTTTATGAGCACAGGGGTCGTGTGGTGACAGGTGACTTTATAGATATTGTTTTGACAGATACGAGCACGCCAGAGGCAGAAAACTCTACAGTGGATCATGTGGAGTATTTTAAATCACTTCTCTTAAAATGAACTTCGTGTTTTAAATAATAGATGTTTACCTCCCAGGTTAAGCCTGAAGTATTCCAATTTTCACTGAAATGGCATGATTTTGGAGAACGAAGTTATACCCCAGATCCACCGCATTCTACACCCTGCTAGAGAAGCGCCACGCAGGCGTCCCAGGGGGCTTTTGAGTTGTCACCTCAACATCGACCCAGCCAGCAGGAGGCAGGGACTAACAAGTGTGTCGCTGCCCAGAGGTGGCTATGGCAGAGACTAATCTTCGTGTCCTTTCTGCGTCAATTACATTTTTATGTGTTGAGTTTCAGAAGACAATGTGAAATAGCAGAACTTCCTTTCGGCCCATCTCTGCTTTTTCTCCACATGCCCTGTTGTAACGACGTTCGGGTCTGGCATGGAGTCCTGGCTTCCCAGCAAGTTCACTGATGTGGTGGGAGGTGTCATGGCCTGGATAGGCAGGTCTTGTTCTCCCACCCTTGCTGTTTGTGTAGACCGTGTTCCTGCTCCAGGAAGGCCATGTCCCCACCCTGGGAGTGACTACGTGTGCTTCCTGGGCTGAAGTGTAGGCAGGCAGGGCCCTGGCACTGAATGTGCTCTGAGCATGGTACCTGCTCTAGGAACTAGATACTCTGGCTCTTCGTGGCATCGCCTCTTGAAGGTGGAAGTCTGTGGTGGCGGTGAGCATTCAAAGGATGCAGGGGAGGGTGACCCGGAGAAAGAGGAACGGGTGCAGGAAGGCTGGGCCGGGCCTGTAGCTCTGTGTTTGCCTCTTGGACTTGATGCATCCTGGTGAGTGGTGGGTCTAGAACATGAGCCACGCCCTGCCTGGGGATGGGCACATCCTCTCAGATGGGGCCTGAGCTTGGCTGACCCTGTCCTGGTAGAAGCGTCCAGTCTTTGCGGCAGGTAGCTTTTGTGATTCATGCACAAGCCTGTTGGGAAACCATGCACAGCTCTGTGGAGTGGTGTGGGTGGGTGACTGGCACGTCCAGATGGGTCCCCCATGGGGTATCTGCCACAGGTCGCCAGCTTCCAGGACAGCAGAGGCCACCTGCCCAAGGGACAGCAGAGGCCACCTGCCCAAGGGAGGAAGGGGCAGTGGCCTGGCCTGCCTTGTCCTGTGTTGCAGACATGGTGTGGCACTCGCTGACCCACTGTGGATGCTGTGCTCGTGCAAGGCCAGGTGGGCCAAACCCAGGAAGCTGAGTCCTGGCCGTGGGCGTGTATGGATCGTCAGGGTGGTTGTCCCACACATGGCTCAACCTGTACAAGTGTGCAGGAGATGTCCCTCATGGCAGGAAGTAGAAGGGTGGTTCCTTCCCACAGCTGCTCGCAATGTTGGGACAGTGGTGGACCTGGAAGGAGCCAACCCACAAGGTGCACACACTACACCTGCCAGCTTCACCCACCAGAGTCCAGTGAGAGTGTGGGTACTCAGGTGTGCATGGGCATGCATTGGTGCATGCTGAATGTATGTGTGTATATGTAAGCAGGTGTACGTGAGTGTACACATATATGCTGCACGCTGTGTGAATGTGCACATGTGTGTATGCATGCTGTGTGTGTTGCAAAGTAGGCAACTGTGGTGTCTGAAGCACAGACCTAAGTGCCTCAGGACCTTTAGGATAAGGAGAACTTAAAACCCTGAGTTCATATTAGAGAAGTGTGGGGGTGGGAGGGACACTCGTCTCCTGCTGTGAGTTGGCATCTGCCCGTGGATGTGCCTGGTCACGCCCACTGACAGTTCTCTCTCTCACCAGCTCCATGGCTACCTGGAGAGTGAGCCACTCACGCTACAGCTGTTCATTGGGACAGCGGATGACCGGCTGCTGCGCCCACACGCCTTCTATCAGGTGCACCGCATCACAGGCAAGACTGTTTCCACCACCAGCCACGAGGCCGTGCTGTCCAGCACCAAGGTCCTGGAGATCCCGCTGCTGCCGGAGAACCACATGCGTGCCATGTAAGCTGGCTGACTGGGTGCAGGCAGGGTGGCTCACACTCCACTCCCCGCCACCCAAAGCCAGGCATCTTGGTTTAGCACCTGAGAAAACCCTGCAGAAGGAAACAGATGTCGTGCTCAGAGCATCCCCCACACTCACTTAGCCTGTTTGGAAAGGATGAGGGTTGGTTTTAGTACTCTGAGAGCCTATGCGGGGAGTTCTTTCCTGGAGCCTGGATAAATGAAATTGTTCAGTCAAATGAAATTTTAGGAAACCCTGGAAGAACAGGATTTCACCAAAAATGAGGAATTTTAAACTGAGTAATGAAAATACTGACAGACTTTAAGCGGGCTGAGCTTTTTATGAATGAGGCACCAGTGAGATCAGTGGGCCCTTGGGCTCTTGTGCCTCCTTCCCCGGGTGCTGGGGCAAAGGGTGTCTCTGCTAGTGGGGAAGACGGGATGGCTCAGCTACACAGTCACCTCAATTCCTCATCTGCCTTGTCTGTATAGACATCGGGACTCTGCCCTGTGCCTGCAAATGCCTCCATATCTCTCACAGATGTTTTCCTCAGGGAAGGGGAAGGGAGGGCTCAGGGCCCCAGCAAGTGCCGGCTCCCTGGAAGGAGCTGCTGGGCTCCCAGGGTGGAGCCTTCCCCTCCGTGCATCCCGCGATGAAGTCTGGGCTTTTGTTTTGGGCAGCATCGACTGCGCTGGGATTCTCAAACTCAGAAACTCTGACATCGAACTTCGCAAGGGAGAGACAGATATCGGAAGGAAGAATACCCGGGTGAGGCTGGTGTTCCGTGTCCACGTCCCACAGCCCAATGGCCGGACGCTGTCCCTCCAGGTGGCCTCGAACCCCATCGAATGTTGTAAGTGGGCACTTGTGGGCCCCTGGGGTTGGTGGCCACCCCCTCCACTTTCTGTCTGTGTAGACAAGAGAGTGGAGTCTGTCCCGTCACACACGCATCTCATGTGCCTCCCCCGGGACCCCACGTCCCTGCTCGCGTGAGGCTGGCCCTGTACCCGTGTGAGCGGATCTATCTAGGCTGCGTCTCCACGAGCATGGCCCTGGCCTTTGGTCAGAGCTTCAAGTGCAGAGACTTCACGGGTTGGGCTCCATACTGCTGCAGGACAGGAGACACATGAGTGCTTGGGTTTCTGGGGCAGTTGGAAGGGTGTTTGCACCACACTTAGTCTAAGTGTGCAGCATCATGGTGTCTAAAGACACATGCATACCTTACTTTAAATTACTTTATTGCTAAAACGCCAACAGGGACACAAGTGCACACACACTGTTGGAAACATGACACCAGGAGACGTACGTGCTGCATGCAGGATTGCCCCAGGCCCTTTGTTTGTAAAGTGCATCTGCCCAGTGCCGTGTAGTGAGACATGCTGTGCAATTTGCCATCCCATAGTTGTTCGGCAACTACACAGTTGTAATCTGGAGTGAAATGGGCTAGATCGGCTCAGGAGAGCGTGTTGGTGATTTCTGTATCACGTTGGGAACCAGCAGGATGACATATGTGGCCACGCCCTTGTCTCTTTGTCGAGGAGCGGCTTTCACAGGGTCACCCTGCAGTTTTTATCCCGGGTGGGCTGGCTCACATGTGACTTGCAACACTGGTGGCCTGGTGCCTTCCCGGGATGGTGGGGCCTGGGCGCTCCTTATCACCCCTCTCCCACCCACAGCCCAGCGCTCGGCCCAGGAGTTGCCCCTGGTGGAGAAGCAGAGTGCAGACAGCTGTCCAGTGGTCGGCGGAAAGAAGATGGTACTGTCTGGTCACAACTTTCTGCAGGACTCCAAGGTGGTCTTTGTGGAAAAAGCCCCAGGTACGCTCCCCAGATCAGGCTGGGTGGGGGCTTCTGGGCTGGGTGTTGGCAGGGACTGGCTCCTGGGGGTGAAGTGGGACCCCAGAGTTGCGTCTTCTCACCACGTGGGGTCCTGGGTGGGTGAGCGGGCCCACATAGCAGCTGCTCAATGTGTGCTGGGTTTGTACCAGGCAGAGCTTCTGTGTGAGCAGACACTTTGCTGCAGAGCAGGAGAGGTCAGAGTTTATTCTTGGGCTGGCCAGAGCCATCCTCACCACCTCGACTGCCATGTTAGGGGAACTGCAGGCCAGGCATCTGGAGGCACTTGTGAAAGGCATTTGCTTGTGTGATTATAGGTCCTCTGTCTGCTACTGTGGATGCTTAGGGGAGCCTTCTTCCCAGGGATGAGGGCCCCGGGGTCAGCAGTTGGGTTGGGGCCGCCTCCCGGGGCCTCCCATCTCCATCAGTGTTCCCTGTGGTACTACCTGAGGATGCTTTCATCAAGGGCTGTTTTCTTTAGTTGGCCACCTTTAACGCTGCAGCCGCTCTGTGTGTGTGTGTGTGTATGTGTGTGTGTGTGTGTGCGCGCGCGCGTGCGCGCACGTGCACACATGCACGCACGCATGCACACACTCATCTGAGTGACCTCTGCCTGCTGGCCCCAGGGAGGGCCCAGATTGCCCAGGAGCCCCCCAGGAGATGCTGGAGCCACCCCGCTTCTGCCCATCCCTGCCATGACCTTGCATTCTCCTGGCCCAGCCTGAAAATATCCGGGCAGGCCTTGGTGGTGGGCATCGTCAGGAGCAGCCAGCCTTCTGGGGCCGTTGTGCCTATGGCTCCATGCTGCCCTCAGGGCTGGTGAGCTGGTGTGTAGCTCAGGTTGGCTCCATCCATGTGCCTCCCCCCCGCACTCTTGTCCTAGGCCGGTGTCCTGGGTGGTGGGATCTGCTAGCTGTGGGTGGAGGCCATGAGCATGGCCAGGCTGTGCTGATGGGACACGGGGTGTTGGAGGGCAGTGGAAGATGCATGTGTTCCGGTGCAGGAATGCTTAGCCCGGCCCTTATTGAGCAGAGGGCAGAGAGTGTGGACCTTACTCTCTGAGAAGACTATTGGGAGTTTTGTTCTTGGAGCCAGCTCCTGGCTCGAGGTGGGCCCTGCCATCCACCAGCCCCTGCCCAGCAGCGGGGATGAGGAGGCAGCTCCCACAGGGCTGGGCGAGGGCGCGTGCCTGCACACAGTGGGTGTTCTGGGCCAGTTTTCCTCTTCACACTCAGCAGTTGGAATGTTTTGAAGGCGGCACTTACCCTGCTCGCTGGAAACCACTGAGGCATTCAGCCTTCATAATGGGGCCCTGATTTTGTTCAGTTTGCAGGAAACTTAAGTGCTGCAATCAAAGTGGGCTTAAAGGTCTTTCACGTAGAACTTGGCGTCCTGCATAATCATACACATAATTAGAAAATATGGTTTAAATTATAGAGAAAACCCAACTTAGGGCACTGACAAAGAAAAGAATTTGCATCTCCCAATGCCCTTCTCTGAAGGAGGTTAATTTTGAAATAATTTAACCTTCAGCGTTTGAGGCGTGTGTTGGAGGAGACATGCCGGACGCAGCACTTCGCCCACAGCAGCTGCTGCGACAGAGATTGGCCCGAGGGCACTGTTTGGGTGACAGGCTCAAGAGAAGTCCAGACCGCCCCATCATGCAGTATACTCATGTAAAAAACCTGCACATGTGCCCCTGCATCTAAATAAATAACAATAATAGGCCTTTTAAAAAGTTGACTGGAACCATGGCCCCATGGGCTCTGCTTCTCAAAGCTGAATCCAGAAGCCTCCTGACTTCATTCTTCTCTACCTGGCCAGGCCTGGGGTACCCTCTGCATGGGCCGCTCCAGAGCATGGTCAGAGATGCCCCTGCAGCCAGCCCACTTAGAGAGTGTAGCTAGAGCTCTCAAGGCTACCTAGGTCCAACCCTCAGCCTCCCCTGGCTGCTCCCTCTGCTGGGTCCCCCTGGCCTCTCACCAACGGTTCCTCCCTGAAGCCCTACATCAATCCCTCCAGGAAGCTTCCAGGGCCCACACTTGGGGCTGAATACCCTGAGGCCGTCCAAGGCCTTTACTTTAACCACTTGCTGTAGCACAGCCAGTGTCTGGTATACAGCAGGCAAATGTTAAACACATAGATGTCACATGCATACCTACTGCAGTGGTGAGCAGATGGACATGGATGCTACATTGACACATTCAGACAGTGCTTGTAATGTCACTGTTTGTATTTAAATAAGATCATTTGCATATTCATATGCACATACATGCAAATTCTGTGTTTCAGAGGAAGAAGACAAATGTCCATGTAATTGTCTTCCTCTGCCTTTGGTTTCTAGGCAGAAGCCTTCACTCCTAATACTTCCTTGTGTGTGGTGACAGCTTGGTGACTGAACACCCACATCCTCGTCCTGGTGACCTGCTTTTCCCAGTTTTTTGTCTTTGATAAACCACTTAACTCAATTTAAATTGAAAACACTGTTGCCCTTTCACCCTCTGACGAGATTGTCTGGTTTGTTTTAAAGTTCTGTTTTAGAAGTGCTGCTTACAGATAGAGGTGAGGCAGCCAGGAACAAGAGAGGGCTTTCGTGGAGGATGTCAGTGAATCAGGCAGGTGAAACCAGCTTCTTGGGAAGGGCTGTTGTTGATCCTGGCTCTTTCACATGATCTAAGAGTACGGAGGTACAGCTGCTGTAGACATTGCCATGTCCGGCTCAGGATGTATCCCTGGTGGGCTCCGCTGTGTCCTCTAGTGATGTATAGGAGGCCCCCTTGCTGGCATCACACAGCCTCTGTATCCTGCTGGCTGCCCTCAAGTGTTTCAACGCTTTGCATAGCATGTACCTAAATGCGTCCTCCCCCTCAGAGGTTGCAGGAGGCTGGTGTCAGGGCCTCCAGGGCAAGGGTGCTGTCATCTCCCGAAGCAGGATGGCACTGGCACCTGCCACATGAGACACAGCCCTCATCTACCTTGTCCCCTATCCTGCAGACATCACCAGGTCCCTCTGGGGCACTCCAGCAGGACAAGAGCAGGGGAGGGGGTCACAGGGCCCAGCTGCATTGCACGTGATGGTGCTTCTGGGAGAAGACTGGGGTTTCCCTTAGTCTCTTGCTGTGCTGTGCACTGGGCCACTGGTGGAAGCGAGCCTTTTAGGGACTCAGGTCACAGTTTATGACTCCCCTATTGGATGATATTTTCTCATGACAAAAGTCTGTGCAGAACATTTGTCCAGGCGCCAAACTGGCAGCTGGCATTGAGGATATATCTGGGGTTCTGAGGTCCCAGGTAGCCCTGAAGACCCTCCACCCCCCACTGCAGACATTCCAGGCAGGGATGGCCATGCACGCCTCTGCTTGTCTGCTTCTCTCAGGAAGGCCACCGGGTCTCCACGCCTGGGAATTGAGGCAATATTTGAACATGTGGGACTCTTCAAAATGGCCAAGGAACACTCTAGTGTTAAGGTAAATGAAAATACTAAGCACCACATGGAATATGAGCTCGTGTCACATTGAAGACTGGCTGAGATAAAATAGAGGACAGGTTTTTGTGACTTGGATGCTTTAACTCTCAGCCCATTCTTATGCTGGAGTTGACCATAGCGCCTCTTTGTAAAGTTACAGTCTGTTTTGTTGCCATGTATTTAAGATAGGAACTAAGGCTGTTTGAGTTTCTGTTGCCACGTAAAAGCCATAGCAAAACCTAAGGGTTCAGGCAACAGTCACCTCACCTACTAGCAACTGCCATGGGCCAGCCAAGGGTAGTTCCTGGCTGGTGTTCTAGTGATCACTGTGTGGCCGCCATGACTGTCAGGTTCACTGGGGTGGCGTGGCTGACTTTTGCCTTTGCAGGTACCCAGGGCCTTCAGGTGGCCTCCCCTTGAGGCAGCCCAACATCTTATGGGCTCCAGAGATGCAGGAGGTGCCAGGCCTGCTTAGGCTCAAGCCCTGTGTCATCTGCTGCATCTGGGGCCCTGGCCAGGATCAAGGGCAGACCGCACAAGGAAGAAATACATGGGACTGTGCAGCGGACAGCAGAAGACAGCCACCACAGAACTAGACCACTACCTGCCAGAGCTTCCTGTAGCTGCTCAGACCCCTTCTTGAGGCCCCCAGGCCCAGCCCCAAATCCCATACACAGACCCCAACCTCAAAACCCAACACAGGCAGACCCCAGCCCCCAAACCTCACACACATAGACCTCATCCCCAAAACCACATATAGGCAGACTCTAACTCCAAAGCCACACACATGGACCCCCAGCCCCCAAACCACACACACAGACCCCAGCCCCCAAATCCCACACAGGCAGAATCTAACACCAATCCCCCCTACAGACCCCAGCTCCCAAACTCAACACACAGACCACAAAACCTCACACAGACAGACCCCAAACCCTAAAATCCATACAGGCAAACCCTAATCCCAGCACCCAACACACACAGACCACAGGCCCCAAAACCCCCATAGATGGATTCCAACCCCAAAACTCAACACACACATATTCCAGCCCTCAAATCCCACACAGGCAGATCCCACCCTGAAACCTACCATGGCCATACTCCACCTTGCCCGCATCTCAGTGATATACTCTGGCCCTGATGTTGCCATGAAGACAGATACGTGGAGAAGGTGACCTGTCCAGCGTTTGTGCACCTGGGAAGGTTGCTTTAGGTTGTCCAGGTCCCTTAAAGCCAGGTGACGAATGTCTACTTCCTCCTCAGTGTGGCTTCTCCCCCATCTAGAGAACCCAGATCCAAACTCTGATGCACTCTGTTGTTTTTAAACTTCAAAGAGTACAAGCCCAGGTCTTCTGGACCTTCCCTGCTAGAGGCCTTGCTTTTCGGGGTCTCCCACAAGCTCCACGAGTGCCTGTCCCTCAAGGAGATTTCAGGAAGGCTCTACCCAGCAGCCACAGAGCCCAGCCATTAACTGACAGGGACGCTTCTGAAGACACTTCCCAGGGAAGATGAGAGAGGCTAACCCTGGAGGTGAGAGGCCGTGGCCCTGAGGATGGGCCTGGAGAAGAGAGAGCATGGCACCAAGGATGGGCTGACCCTGGAGAAGAGAGGCCGTGGCCCCAAGGACAGGCCTGGAAAAGGGAGGCTATGACTCTGAGGATGGGCTGACCCTGGAGAAGAGAGGCCATGGTCCCGAGGATATGCTGGCCCTAAAGAAGAGAGGCCGTGGCCCTGGGGATGGGCTAGCCCTAGAGAAGAGAGGCCATGGCACCAAGGATGGGCCAACCCTGGAGAAGAGAGGCCGTGGCCCCGAGGTCAGGCCTGGAGGAGGGAGGCTATGGCCCTGAGGATGGGCTGACGCTGGAGAAGAGAGGTCATGGCCCCAAGGATAAACCGGCCCTGGAGAAGAGAGGCCATCGTCCCAAGGATGGATTGACCCTGGAGAAGAGAGGCCATGGCCCCGAGGATGGGCTGGCCCTAGAGAAGAGAGGCCATAGCCCTGAAGATAAGCTGCATGCTCCGAGATGGCCTGGGACCCTTGAAACTGTTCATGCCATAGTGTTCAGGTCGAGCAGTATTTCTAATAGTCTTGGAGGGAAAAAATTCAGAAAGAAAAGTCAGCTATGATGGAGATGTGCCCACTAGGTGGGTGTGCCTTGTGTGTCTACCCCATGGTTGGAGGACACCTGGTGTGTCCTCCTGTGGCAGTCATGAGTAGTGCTTCTGTGCACTCTTTTTTTTTTTTTTTTTTTTTT